GATCCCTCTCTATACTATACTAGTTCTTTTCTATACTATACTAATACTATACTATACTAATACTATACTAATACTAATACTATACTATACTATACTATACTATACTATACTATACTATACTATACTATACTATACTATACTATACTATACTAGTTCTTTTCTATACTATACTACACTGAGTTTAGGGTTTAGGGTGTACGGACTATGCTATACTTTTCTATTCTATACTATACTCTAGGACTAAGCTATACCACACTTGCACTAGACCATCCTAAACACTGCGACTGATAGGTACTTTGGGGCCAATGTATATACTATTTGGGTACATGGACCCTTAGACCCTAAACCCTAAACCCTGCAAGACTTATCAGGGAACCCTTATAAAGGCCTTATAGTAACCCTAAGAATATTTGGGTACATGGACCCTTAGGTCTTGCTAGTTTCCGGTGTTTTTCCGCGAAAGACAGGTTCAAGAGCCTTAGTCCGGGGATAGGGCCACTACAGGGTCTTGGGGTTTGGGGTTTAGGGTTTAGGGTTTAGGCTTTAGGGTTTAGAGTTGGGGTTTAGGGTTTAGGGTTTAGGTTTAGATGGGTTAACAGCAGCGTCCGTGAACTTTCCCGAGTTTCCTCCCGGCGCTCAGGAAGCGTGCAACCTTCGCCGGAAGCGGTCTGATGAGATACTCACTAGAGGTGCCCGGGATCCTGCAGAAGGGTTTAGGGTTCAGGGTTTAGGGTTTAGGGTTTAGGGTTGAAGCCCTGAAGAGAGGGTTTTGAATTCCTGGTGGATGCAAAACAGGAGAGTTGTGTGTCCTCACTGTTTCGAAGCAGCGACTAAATCCTAAAATAGGCCACTTTAGATCATGAATTCCTTGACCCCCAGCATGACACCACTGTCTCGGGGCAAAAGAAAGTCTGGAGCCTGAGCATAGATTCCTTTACAGCTCACTATATCATTTGTAAGGAACTATATACGTTGGCCTTAATGTCGTCGCTTTTTTTACGTACTTCAGGGCCAATGTATACACTATTTAGGTACATGGATCCTTAGGCATTTGTAAGGAACCCTTAGGACCCTGGACGCCCGCCGAGCCAGGTAGAGATTTGCTCATCTCGTGGGCTCCGGAATGCTGACTGGATGACTTTGGGCGTGGGTGGGACCTCCGATCCCTACTGCATCTGCCAGGCGCGGTGTGCAGTAAACACCGGCTTTGCAGCATGGGCGTGCATTAAACAAATATACCACAAGTTTATCGGTATGTAAAGGCCGAAGTACGTATGTTACATACAAGCATACATACAGACATACATACATACATACATACATACATACATACATGCAGAAAGACAGACAGACAGACAGACAGACAGACAGACAGACAGACAGACAGACAGACATACAGACATACAGACATACAGACATACAGACATACAGACATACAGACATACATACATGCA